CTTGGCCTCCCAACACTCTCTGTAGTGCTGGGACTACAGGCATGAGCCATGTTTGGCCCCTAAAGCCCTTTTGTTCAGTGTGTGTGTGTGTGTGTGTATATATATATATATATATATATATGTATGTATGTATGTATTTATAGTCTAGAGAAGAGAGGTCTATTTTTTTTACATGAAGAGGTTTGTATGTTAATCACCTATGGGACTAAAAGTCTTTGTTTAAGGAAGTCAAGTGAGAAAAATTTAATCTGTAAAGACTTAACTACTATAAGATTTATTTTTGCCGGGCGTGGCAGCTCACACCTATAATCCAAGCACTTTGGAGGCCAAGGCGGGAGGATCACCTGAGGTCGGGAGTTCAAGACCAGCCTGACCAACATGGTGAAACCCCGTCTTTAAAAAAAAAAAAAAAGATTTATTTTTATTTTTATTTTTTAATGATTTGGTTCCAATGCACATAAGATTTATTTTTTAGCCTTGCATGGTGGCTCACGCCTATAATCCCAGCACTTTGGGAGGCCGAGATGGACAGATCACCTGACATCTGGAGTTCGAGGTTAGCCTGACCAACATGGAGAAACCCCGTCTCTACTAAAAATACAAAAAAATTGGCCAGTTGTTGTGGTGCATGCCTGTAATCCCAGCTACTTGGGAGGCTGAGGCAGGAGAATCCCTTCAACCCGGGAGATGAAGGTTGTAGTGAGCTGAGATTGCCCCATTGCACTCCAGCCTGGGCAACAAGCGTGAAATTCTGCCCCAAAAATAAAAAAGATTTAATTTTTTTCCTCATCCCTGTGATTACCTGGAGATATAAGTATTATTGTTTTGTTTGTTTGTTTGTTTGTTTGTTTTTTACCTAAATAGAGATGGAGGTCTCCCTATGTTGCCCAGGCTGGTCTTGGAACTCCTGGGCTCAAGAGATCCTCCTGCCTCAGCCTCCCAAAGAGCTAGGATTCCAGACGTGAGCCACTATGCCCAGCCTACTTTTATAACTCATCACAAAGAGAAGTGACTAAGGGAGAGAAGTATGTTAACCTCTACCAAAATACTAAAGTTGAAGGCATCCCTGGAAATGGGGGAGGTTAGAGAATAGTATGGCCTCAGGAGCACAGAAATCACTGACTACACCTTTTCTTTTGTGTGCTGATCACACAGGGAAAGAATCGAGAAGAGGTGAGAAGGCATATTAAAGCCTTACCTCTGATAATCTCAAAGCAATCAGAGAAACACATCTCACCAGAGAAAAGACACTCACAGAGGAAGAGAGCAGCATACAAGCACTTCTGAGGCTGAGCCAGCCTGAATTCCAATAAACCAACACACAGGAAAGGATTTTTTTTTTTCACTCTAAGTTAACAGAATCATGTTCTAATCAAGGTCTATGAATAAGATTAAAGACTGGAATAAGAGGAGGAGGGTGGTGGCAGAAAAAAAAAAAGACTGGAATAAATTAAGGATACTCTTTATTTAAAAAAAGTGACAAAGACAGCAATTTGGCATAGCACTTAGCAACACTCAGGGTTAGTTGTTTTAATAGTTTGATTTTTGTTTTAAAAAGTGTGGGAGGCAGGCTGTGGTGGCTCACGCCTGTAATCATAGCACTTTCAGAGGCTGAGACAGGAGGATCATGTAAGCCAGAAATTCAAGACGAGCCTGGGCAACACAGGGAGAGCCTATCTCCACAAAAAAAAAAAAAAAAAAAGAGTTAGCTGGTGGTGTACATCTGTGGTCCCAGCTACTTGGGAGGCTGAGGTGGGAGGATCGTTGTTTGAGCCAGAGAGGTCAAGGCTGCAGTAAGTCATGATCATGCCACTGCACTTCAGTCTGGGCAACAGAGCGAGACCTTGTCTCAAAAATAAAATTAAAAAGTGGGGGTAAGGAGGGTACAATGACCATCTGTTTACTCAGATAAACTGTATCACTAAAGCCTCAGCCAACCCTCCCTCATCATTTTGAAATTGAATCGCTAAGGATATGAAGTGATTGCAACAAATATTATCACAGGACAAGTGACCTTCCTTCTTTAGGCAAGGAATAAGGCTCTATTGTTTCAGGTTCGTAGATCAGATAAAAGGGTGTGCTCGGATTCCGTGGCTCACGCCTAGCACTTTGCGAGGCCGAGGTGGGTAGATCACTTGAGATCAGGAGGTCAAGACCAGCCTGGCCAACATGGTGAAACCCCATCTCTACTAAAAATACAAAAATTAGCCAGGCACAGTAGCACGTGCCTGTAATCCCAGCTACTCAGGAGGCTGAGGCAGGAGAATCACTTGAACCTGGGAGGTGGAGGCTGTAGTGGGCCGAAATCTAGGAAATAAGTTAACAATGAGGAAAGACAGAATATGGGGGCAGGCAGGGGGTGGTTAATATAATCAGGGAAGCCTTCCAGAGGACAGAGGGAGGCTCTAGGCATGGATAGGAAGAAGAGAGTCCTCAAGCTGTACACATTGACTTCTTGCTATAGGAACCGTATCCTGGCGCAGACGCGATGCGGATTTCCATCAGGAAATGCTTCATACTCTCAGTGGGCATTGTATTCCTGTGGCTCTTCATCACTTTGAAAATCCCCAAGGAAACTGAAGATGATCAAAATGTGGTGACTATCAAAGGCCAAGTAGCAACCCTTGAGCTTGCTCAGTTTGGGAACTGGGAATATAGGGTGGAAATGGTGTGGACAGGCAGATTCTTGAAAGCCCCTGGGCTTTCCTTCCTCCTGTACCTTTTCACCCGAGAGCAGGAAGCTCCAAAGGGAATGGGGGTATGGATCCAGGTCTATTAGTTCTCCATATTCGTTAAGACAAAGGAGAGCAAATACTGCTTGAGCCCTGGATATTTTAGCCAATGGCCAAGCATCCTGAGAATGTGCTGGGCTCACTCTAGGGAAAATGGTTCACTCCACTTCTTTTCCCAGAAAAGCTTATGGGAAACTTTACACCTTCCAGCCACTGGGGTGTAAAGTTTGTTCTTTTTATGAAATGATACATATGTTTGCCCTTGTCAATGCCCCAGGAGGCCAGTTATAACAGCAGGAAGGACCCAAGACCACTAGAAGACTGGCAGAAACTCACCTTCGAATATATGGAAAAAATCCAGAAGAGAAGAAAGAGTGAGTACCAATAAGAGGGAAGAATTCAGTACCCCAGGGGAAGTAGGGACAGAAAGAGATCAGCCAGATAGGAAGGACAGTAGAAGAGGGAAGGAGGAAGACAGATTTGTGCCTAGGAATATTAGATTCTGGCAGACAATTTTCTCCTCCTTCCCCAAGGCAATATATATATCAGCAATATGAGGAGGAAGGAGAAAAAAGTTAGTTAGCTACCACTTTTCTTTTTTCCCTTCCTGGCAAGTTACTAAAGTTAATTGCTATAAGAAGGTGGACTCACTAGACTAGAGAACATTTGAATTAGCGGGGGTCTTAGAGTCACATAGTCCAACTCCCCCAGTTTATGGATCAGGAACTAAACTCAGGGCTGAAGGGATTTGCTCAAGATCACACAATCAGCAGAACTGGGACAAAAACTCTGGGCTCCTGTCTTCTTCCTTCTTTTTTTTTTTTGAGACGGAGTTTAGCTCATTACCCAGGCTGGAGTGCAATGGCGCGATCTCGGCCACCGCAACCTCTGCCTCCTGGGTTCAAGCAATTCTCCTGCCTCAGCATCCCGAGTAGCTGGGACTACAAGCGTGCGCCACCACGCCCAGCTAATATTTTTGAATATTTAGTAGAGATGGGGTTTCACCATGCTGACCAGGATGGTCTCGATCTCTTGACCTCGTGATCCACCCACCTCAGCCTCCCAAAGTGCTGGAATTATAGGCGTGAGCCACTGCGCTTGGCCTGGGCTCCTGACTTCTAAGGGAAGTCCTTTTCCTTTTTTTTTTTTGAGATGGAGTTTTGCTCTTGTTGCCCAGGCTGGAGTGCAATGGTGTGATCTCAGCTCACCACAACCTCTGCCTCCTGGGTTCAAGCTATTCTCCTGCCTCAGCCTCCCGAGTAGCTGGGATTACAGGTGTGTGCCACCAGGCCCGGCTAATTTTGTATTTTTAGTAGAGACAGGGTTTCTCCGTGTTGGTGAGGCTGGTCTTGAACTCATGACCTTAGGCGATCCTCCCACCTTGACCTCCCAAACTGCCGGGATTACAGGTGTGAGCCACTGCTCCCAGCCGGGAAGTCCTTCTCCTAATATACCTTCTTCAAAGGACAGCTTTGTGAAGATGACAACAATTGACAACAATAATATAATTGACAACAATTATAATGACTATAATAGCTAATATTTATTGAGCCCCTAAACCATATGCCACAAAGTTCTAGGCTCAAAGAAGACTCAGCAAAACCCACAGAGACTCAGCATCACCTAGCTTAGTACTTCTCAAACTTCACTGTGCATGCAAGTTACCTGGTGATATTGTGAAAATGCAGCTTCTGATTAAATCTGAGGTAGGGGTCCAGATTCTGTATTTGTAATGAGCTTACAGAGGAGCCTGATGTTGCTGGACTAAGGACCACACTTGGAGTAGCAAGGATGTAAGCATCCCCTCTGCCAAAGGGAAAAACAGGCAGGAAATGAGAGGGAAGAAAGGAGGAGTGAAAGTCCCACATAGCATCCCAACCCCTAACCCTTCTGACAACCGTCACTGTTCCTGTACACTGACAGTCGCCCCGATTTTACCTCTCCTTAGGATGGCTGACGGTGGGGATCTCCTCAGTGCAGCAAGGAGATGGAAGCAGCCTCTTGTACACACTGGTCTCCCTGTTCCGTGTTTCTTCTAAGGCTGAGCAGAAACGTCTTACGGTGCTGGTCCATCTGGCAGATTCTGACCTCACCTGGCTCAAAGAAACTGTTGCCCATATTTCAAGCCTCTTCAGCCCACAGATCTTGGAAGGGCAGTTGCTACTGATCCATGCTCCATCTGATGCCTACCCAACTGTGGACAGCGTCAGGGATGAGGCCTTTCGTGGAGAATTCTACTCCAAGCAGAACATAGATCACGCCTTCCTCATGAGCTTTGCCACAAAGCTCTCTGATTACTTCCTGTTAATAGAGGACAATGTCTTTATTGCCCCCAACTTTGTCACCCACATTTATTCGAGGGTGGCCACCATGAAGTCCAACTCGTGGGTGCTACTGGAGTTCTCCAATATGGGCTTCCTTGGCAAACTCTTCCACAGCAGGGACCTCCCACTCCTGGCCCATTTCCTCCTCCTCTTCTACAAGGAGAAACCCCTCCACAGCCTGATTTCTCATTTCCGTACCCTCCTGGTCCAGGAAAGCCCAATCCTCTGTAGACCTTTCCTCTTCTACCGCAGGATCTCCTACACTGCCTTTGATCACAAGCAGAAGGCCACAGGACTTCGGAAAAAGAACACCATTGGTCCCGATAACCCGCCTGCAGCTGTCTTCACTAATATGCAGGTTTCCAGTGTGCATTTCCCCTGGGAGGCCTATACTCTGGATGAGTCATTCTTTTGGACACACAACATTAGTATAGGAAACCACCTGACAGTGGTTCTGAACCATCCAGCAAACCTGAGCAGGGTGCAAGTGATGACGGGCTCCATTGTGGACGGGAGGTACGCCCTGGAGAAGGGGCAGGTGGAGCTGGGCTACGAACCTGAGGGGATGCCTCAGCACTGCACCAGCTTCGCCTTGCTGGGACGTCTTTCGGAGGGGCAGATGGATCAGGAGATACTTCTGAAAGGTATGGGGTACCACGTGAGCTGTGTGAGGCTGGTGGTGAAAGCTGGTCAGGCTGGGGGACTCATAATCAGGCATATCTACCTCTGGGAGAAAAATGCCAATTAGCAGCAAGTGGATCAATGCTGAAGACAAATCAGTAGGGGGATGAAAAATTAAAATCTTAAAGCCATTTTATTCTAGCCTATATGAGTGGCATAGGGGAGACACAAGGGAATTAAGGGCCAAGAGAGAGGACTGTCAGTCTTTTGGTGCTGCCAAGATGTCAGGAGACTTGTCGCTTCCTTTCTACCCAAACAGCTCACATAGAATATCTTTTGCGGGGGCAGATATAGCTTATCCAAATGTGGGAAGAGTTGTTGGTCACTCCCAAAATCTTCAGATACCTGAGATGCTAGATCAGCCCAAATCAAGGCATCTGTGTGCATGTGTGTGCGCGCAGGTGGATGCACATCTATGTTCACACACAGGCAGAGGTGGGGTGCAGTATGTGGTCACAGGAAGGCAGGCAGGAGAACCACAGCTGAATCCCTAGAACTGACATCATAAAAAGCCATGAAAGGGACTCTCATTAGAAGTCAAAATCTTGGCCGGGCATGGTGGCTCACACCTGTAATCCCAGCACTTTGGAAGGCCAAGGTGGGAGGGTCACCCGAGGTCAGGAGTTTGAGACCAGCCTGGCTAATATGGTGAAACTCTGTTTCTACTAAAAATACAAAAAAAAAAAAAAAAAAAATTAGCCAGGCGTGGTGGCATGTGCCTGTAATCCCCGCTACTTGGGAGGCTGAGACAGGAGAATTGCTTGAACCCAGGAGGTGGAAGTTGCAGTGAGCTGAGATTGTGCCACTGCACTCCAGCTTGGGCAACAGAGTGAGCCTCAGTCTCAAAAAAAAAAAAAAAAAAAGAATCTCTGAAGTGCAGGAAAGTAGCAGATGGACATATAACAATAAAACGAATCCCTTAGCTCTGTCCTTTAAGCTGTTTCATAGTGCCAATCTAGTTGCCTCTTTCCCTCTCCAACAAACTTGGACATAAATAGGTTGTAACAACTAGGCTGGGTGTGCTGGTTCATGCCTGTAATTCTAGCCTCTCTTAGGAGACTGAGGTAGGAGGATCTCTTGAGGCCAGAAGTTCAAGACCAACATAGGCAATATGGCAAAACTCTGTCTCCACAAAAAATTAAAAAGCCGGTTGTGGTGGCATGTGCCTATGGTCCCAGCTACCCAGGAGGCTGAGGTAGGAGGATCGCTTGAGCCCAGGAGATCAAGGCTGCTGTGAGCCATGATCATGCCATTGCACTCCAGCCTGGGCAAGAGTGAGACCCTGTTTCAAAAAAAAAAAAGAAAAGTTTGTAACTGAAGCTTTACTCTCTCATCAGCAATTCACTCCTTAACCATGGTTTCTGCATCCACAATGCCACTGAAACTTCCCTGCTTGTCATGACGAGAATAGTCAAAACCCAGTGACTTTTTCAGATATCATTTTAAGACCTAGTCTTAAAAAAAAAGAAAAAAGAAAAAGTTAAAAAAAAAAAGAATGAATTTGGACCCCTACCTCACATCATATAAAAAATTAACATATAAAAGTATTATAGACCTAAATCTAAGAGCTAAAACTATAAAATTCTTAGATGAAAACAAAAATATCAATCATGATCTTGGATTAGGCAAGTTTCTTAGACATGACACCAAAACACAAGCATTCAAAGAATAAATTAGACTTCAATAAATTATTATTATTATTTTTTGAGGCAGAATCTTGCTTGCCACCCAGGCTGGAGTGCAGTGACACAATCTCGGCTCACTGCAACCTCCACCTCCCAGGTTCAAGCAATTCCCCAGCCTCAGCCTCCTAAGTAGTTGGGACTACAGGTGCATGCCACCAGGCCTGGCTAATTTTTTTGGATTTTTAGTAGAGATGGGGTTTCACTGTGTTATCCAGGGTGGTCTCATCTCCTGACCTCAGATCCACCTGCCTCAGCCTCCCAAAGTGCTGGGATTACAGGCATGAGCCATCGTGCCCCGCCAACAAATTAAAACTTTTTTGTGTGCTTCACAGGATACTATTAAAGTGAAAAGACAATCCACAGAATGGAAAAAAAAAAATATTTGCAAATCATATATCTGTTAAGAGACTGGTATCCAGAATACAGAAAAAATTCTTACAACTCAATGGTAAAAAGACAACCCGCTTTAAAAATGGGCTAAGGGATTTCTCCAAAGACAACATACCAGTGGTCAATAAGCACATGAAAAGATTTCATCATCAGTCATTAGGGAAATGCAAATCAAAACCACAGTTAAAAAGCACTTCACACCCACAAGGATGTCTATAATTTTGTGTTTGTTTGTTTTTTTTGAGATGAGTCTCTCACTGTCACCTGAGCTGGAGTGCAAATGGTGCAATCTTGGCTCACTGCAACCTCTGCCTCCCGGGTTCAAGTGATTCTCCTGCCTCAGTCTCCCAAGTAGCTGGGATTATAGGCGCCTGCCACCATGCCCAGCTAATTTTTTTTTGTATTTTTAGCAGAGATGGGGTTTCACTATGTTGGCCAGGCTGGTCTTGAACTCCTGACCAGCTATAAGTTTTTTTTTTTTTTTTTTTTTTTTTTTTTTTTTTTTTTAAGGAAAATAAATGTTGTCTAGGATGTGGAGAAATTAGAATCCTCATATATGCTGGTGGGGTTGTAAAATGATACAACCACTTTGGAAAAGTGTTTAACAGTTCTTCAAAATGTTAGAGTTGCCATATTATCAAGCAATTTCACTCCTAGGTACATACTTAAGAGAATGAAAACATATATTCACACAAAGGCTTACACATGAATGTTCGCAGCAGCATTATTATTAACAAAGCATGGTAACAATCTACATGTCCACCAACTGATGAATGGGTAAGGAAAACATAGCACATTCATACAGTGAAATATTATTCAGCACTAAAAAAGAATGAAACACAGACACATACATGTATGAATCTTAAAAACATTCTGCTGGCTGGGCGCGGTGGCTCAGACCTGTAATCCTAGCACTTTGGGAGGCCGAGGTGGGTGGATCACCTGAGGTCGGGAGTTCAAGACCAGCCTGGCCATCACGGTGAAACCCCCATCTTAAAAACAAAAAAACAAAAAACATTCTGCTACATGAAAGAAACCAGTCACAAAAGGCTACATATTGTATGATTCATTTATATGAATCCAGAATACATAAATCCATAGCAACAGAAAGTAGATTAGTGGCCAGGGGCTAGGGCAGGGGGAACAGGAAATGACTGCTAACAGGTATGGGGTTTCTTTTGGGAATGATGACAATGTTCTGAAATTGATTGTGGTAATGGTTGCGCTACTCTGTTAATACACTAAAAACCATTAAATTGTGTACTTTGAAAAGAAGGAATTTTGTGGTATGTGAATTATATCTTTTTTTTTTTTTTTTTTTTTTTTTGAGGCGGAGTCTCGCTCTTGTTACCCAGGCTGGAGTGCAATGGCGCGATCTCGGCTCACCGCAACCTCCGTCTCCTGGATTCAGGCAATTCTCCTGCCTCAGCCTCCTGAGTAGCTGGGATCACAGGCACGTGCCACCATGCCCAGCTAATTTTTTGTATTTTTAGTAGAGACGGGGTTTCACCATGTTGACCAGGATGGTCTCGAACTCCTGACCTCATGATCCACCCGCCACGGCCTCCCAAAGTGCTGGGATTACAGGCTTGAGCCACCGCGCCCGGCTGAATTATATCTTAAAAAAAAAAAATTAAAAAACAAACCGGCCAGGAACAGTGCTTCACATTTATAGTCTCAGTTCCTCAGGAGGCTGAGGTGGGAGGATCAGTCAAGCCCAGGAATTCAAGGCTGCAGTGAGCTAAAATTATGCCACAATACTCCAGCCTGGGCAACAGAGCAAGACTCCGCCTCAAAAACAAAAGGCTGTAGAAGCAAATTAAAGGGTTTAGGCTATCTTGATGGCAACAGGGAATCATCAAACTGTTTTCAGAAGGACAACAAAATGATCTGAGTTGTGCTTTGGAATGATCACTACGGGCATCATGTGAGGACTAGATGGAAAGAGGTCAAGATGGGGAAACCAATTAAAGAAGAAAATAGGCCGGGTGCGGTGGCTCACACGACTGTAATCCCAGCACTTTGGGAGGCCGAGGCAGGCGGATCACCTGAGGTCAGGAGTTCGAGACCAGCCTGACCAACATGGAAAAACCCCGTCTCTTAAAAAAAAAAAAAGAAGAAAAAGAAGAAGAAGGAAATCTGGGCCAGGTGCGGTGGCTTACGCCTGTAATTCCAGCACTTTGGGAGGCCAAGGCAGGCAGATCACTTAAGCTCACGAGTTCGAGACCAGCCTGACCAACATAGTGAAACCCTGTCTCTACAAAAAAATGCAAAAATTAGCTGGGTGAAGTGGTGCATGCCTGTAGTCCCAGCTACTTGGGAAGTTGAAGTGGGAGGAGGATGGCTTGACCCCAGGAGGAGAGGTTGCACTGAGCTGAGATCCCACCACTGCACTCCAGCCTGGGTGATAGAACCAGACCATATCTCAAAAAAAAAAAAAAAAAACCCAATTAAAAAAAGAAGGAGGAGGAGGAGGAGGAGAAAATATGTATAAGGTGCCTATTTCAGTGCCTGGCATATTAATAGATACTTGATAAATGGTACTTCCCATTTCTTTCTTCATGGACTGAGATCATATCAGGTCACCCTCTGCCTTAGACAGTGGCTGAGGCCTCATTCTTATGTCTACAGGGGCCACAAGACAACATAGCCAGGTAAAGCGGACCTGGTGTAAGAATCCAGTAGCAAAAGTGTCATCATAACTGGCAACTGAGTCTCAGCCTCCATGTCTGGGCGATGATGGAGTGTGGTGGACTCATGGCAAACTTAGGTCTTCATGCCTTCTCTGAAGCTCAGTGTTACTGCACAGGTGCCCTGTGAGAAGGTGGGCCCGGCATTGCATATCTGGTCATTTGTCAAGAGAAGTTGGAAATTTCAATTTTTATGTTAGACCTCTACATTTTCTGAATGCTGGCAGCTGATTCAGAATGTTATCAAAAGATGGTTTTTACACAATGGCCAGGTGCAGTGGCTCACATCTTTAAACCCCAGCGCTTTGGGATGCTGAAGTGGAAGGATCGTTTGAGCCCAGGAGTTCAAGACTAGCCTGGGCAACAGAGCGAGACCCCCGACCTCTACCAAAAAAAGAAAGAAAAGCCAGAATCATCAGCAACAACAAAACAACAAAAACCACTACAAGCCACTGCTCTGCTCTGCTCTGGGGAAGCTTCCTCGAGTTAAGTTTTGCCTCAGGTTACCACACATTTGATTGGCTTACAACTTCCTGGAATCCTCTGAGGCAATCATTTTTAGCTTCAGAAGCACTGGTCCCCTAGATTTCTGGGACATACTCCTATATCTATCAGTAACACCAAGCCCCTCTGAGCGCGGATCACTCTGCAGATGGCTGAATCAATCTGCTGCTCATTCTATTAACTGTGTGGCGACCTTGGCTCACTGCAACCTCCACCTCCCAGGTTCAAGCCTCAGCCTCCCGAGTAGCTGGGATTACAGGCACAC